GTGGATGAAGCTTTTGAGATTTAGGGAGACCGTGATATGAGAAGAATTAATGAGGCACAAAATCTCAAGCTTGGGGATGACCAAGGCACCCCAAGATAATATTTCAAGAAGTCTCAAGCATCTAAGCTTGGGGATGCCCCGGTTGGCATCCCACCTTTCTTCTTCAACAATTATCGGTTAGTTTCGGTTGATCCTAAGTTTTTGCTTCTTCACATGATGTTTGCTATTCTTAGAATGTCATTTTCTTTGGCTTTGCTTGCTGTTTGAATAGAATACCAAGATCTGAAATTATTAAATGTTAGAGAGTCTTCACATAGTTGCATAATTATTCGACTACTCATTGATCTTCACTTATATCTTTCGGAGTAGTTTGTCATTTGCTCTAGTGCTTCACTTATATCTTTTAGAGCACGATGATAATAACACATACGGTTGCTGCTAATAAGACGTGTATGTTGTGCGATGGGATTGCATACATAACAACAACAACATATAATCAGAATAATATTCTGATCACAACTTGAACTACCTGAGTAACGCGCCTGAACTTCCCTCTCTACGAACCCGACCTTTGGGCTATCTTCTCAACTGTGGCTTCTACCGCGATTTTTTCTGATCATTCGTGTTCTATGTGATGTAAGTGTAATCTGCAAATGTTTTTTAGCAACTAAATACCCGTTTAGATAGGAATCTCGCTCATAGGCGGATTTTTGCACTCGGGTCGTGATGAACTCGCGTTTTTTGCAATTTTATTGCCTGAGTTGTTCTACCTGAACTTCCCCTTGTGCTAGGTTGAACTTTGCCCAAATGGGGCTTGCGATATACCGATGGAAAGCTATGGACACCAGTATCATGTTCCAAGTTAAATTTTTGGCAAAACGTAAGCGGTTTAAGAGCAGTTTTGAAAACCGTTTTTTCTTCATACAAAACACGTGAATCGTATTTTTGATCGCATTTCTAAACCGTCTATCGGAATGAGGCAAATAATATGGCGTTGGAAAGCTGCTGCAAAGCCGCTCCTTCCACATGTTGAAAGTTTTCTTTAATTCCCTACAGGTAAAGTGTAATTTGGAAAATCGTAAAATTTTGCAAACCGAACAGCCGTGTTCGTATTTTCGATGCCATTTCTAAATGGCTAATCCAATTGATGCAAATGATATGGCGTTGGAAAGCTTATGAAATTGTGCTACTTTTTTGTGTTAAAAGTTTTTTCTAATTTTGAACGTTTTAAAAGTAATTTAGAAAATGATACAAGTTCTACCATGTTCGTATTTTTGAGCTAATTTTTTAACCGTACGTCCAAATGCAACAAATGATATGGCATTGGAAAGCCTGAGAAAATGTGAAACTTTTTGTTATATATTATTTCTCCCAATTCCTTACGTTTTTAAGTCAATTTTGAAAATGGCTAAAAACATATTTTTGCCATAATTTCTACAAACTTTATCGGAATGGGGCAAATTATATACCGTTGAAAAGATATGAAAAAGTGAAACTTTTTCATATTGATAGCTTTTCTCTGATTCCTAACTGTTTTAAGTAATTTCAAAAATGGCAAGATCATTCGTTCTGCCTTTATCGCGAAACAGATTCTTCGAAAATGCACTGCTTGAAGAACTTGAACTTCTTGACATGTCTATTTGAACTTCATTCTGTTTTTCACGTGCTTTTTTTTCTCGTAGATCTCCATCCACTGCTCGTAGCTCTCTATCCACTCATCGGAATTGAGCAAGTGATATACCGATGGAAAGCTGCTGTAGACTCGCAACTTTCCCGTCTTGATCATTTTTTCATACTCGCGACGGTTTTAAAAGTTTTTCATGTGAAATTCATTCAGTGTAGTAGTTGAACTTCCTGTTATTTTCACGTTGAACTTCTGTGACGTATTTTCGTTTGTAGTTTTTCTCATCCATTCGTTAGTGTTAGACAAATGGTCTTCCTTTTGTACAAACCCTTCTCACAATAATTTTTTAACTTTCTTCGAGCGAGGACTTGAACTTACACAAATGGTATTCCTGTCGTTTTGAAGTAAATTAGAAATTGACAAGATCATGATTTCTACCTTCATCGCGAATGGAAATGCACTGCGTGAAGTAGTTGAACTTCTCGGGCATGTCTGTTTGAACTTCACTCTGTTTTTGATGTGCTATTTTTTGACGTGCTGTGTTTTTGCACTGCGTGAAGTAATTGAACTTCTAGGGCATGTCTATTTGAACTTCACTCTGTTTTACTTTATTTTGTATTTTTTTCTTATATGAAATACACACCATGCAGTACGTGAACTTCCGATTGTTATCACTTTTGAACTTCACTCTGGTTTGAGGGAATTATTTTAAAACACAAAAAACAACATTTTTAATGTATTTTGGACATCTAAATACACGGTGAACCTCTCTCACAAGATTTTTTTGAACTTTTCCTCGCCGAGAAATTGAACTTCTAGCAACCATTCTTTTCGTTTATAATTTGAACTTCACCTTTTTATATTTTGAGTAAAGAATTGTATTCAATTTTTATACGAAAAAATCTTAGTTTTGTAATAAACATTATACAGATTGTTCGCTATTTCGAATTGAACTTCTTGGTTTATTCATTAGCAATGGGAAACATTTAAGTTTTTGTGATAAATATTGAACTGCTCCATTTTCTGACATTAAACTTCTTGGTTTATTATTTATTATCGAGGAAAATCTTTTTTTTTTCATATGCATTGAACTATTGTATTTTTTAAAATTGAATTTCTTGGTTTTTTCAGTTTGGACCTCTTGGTGTTATTCACTTGTAACTGGAAAAATGCTAATTTTGTAATAAACATTGTACAACTTCTTGGATATTTTCGAACTGAATTTCTTGGTTTTTTTCGTTAGTAACAGGAAAATTTATGAGAAAAATCTGCATTTCTTAAAGACATCGAACTTCACCATTTTTTAAATTTAAACTTCTTAGTTTTATTTGTTAGTAATGGGGAAAATCCTTTTTTGAACTTTCCCGGGCATGTCACTTGAACTTTGAGCAACTAAATTTTTGATCAAGACAACCGTCACAAATTCGCTGCCGTTTGAGAGCAGTATTAAAAATGGCAAAAACAACATCATTTTTCCTTGTTTTTTACATATAATTGAAGGTCAGACATCTCGCACTAGAGATCTTGAACTTCACCGGGAGGAGCACGTGAACTTCTTGCCACAAACATTTTAAGCTTTTAGTTTTCTGTTTCTTATATTCTTATTTGAAACGCATTTTGTGTAGTAGTTTAACTTCACGCTATTTTTCACCTTGAACTTCTGACATGTATTTTTGTTCACCCACTCACAACAATTTTTTAACTTTCTCGGGCCGAGCACTTGATCATCAGCGTACATATGATGTTTTTCATGTAGAAACTAGAAAATTTGAGTTTTTTTGTATATATCAAACTACTCCATTTTTTTCAATTTGAAATTCTTGATTTTCTTTTTAAAATCGAATTGCTCTAAAAAAATCTTAAAATGCCAAAAATGACGCTACCCTTTATCAACGAAAAAATTGAATTTTTATAGACATCAAACCACTCTCTTTTTCCAATTTTTAGAACCTCTTTGTGTATTGAGTATTTTTAGTAAATGTCAAACTTCTTCATTATTTCAAACCGAACTTCTTGGTTTATTCGTTAGTAACGGAAGAAAATCGAGTTTTTGTAATAAATATCAAACTGCTCCATTTTTTGAAATTGAACTTCTTGGTTTATTCACTAGTTATGAAAAGAAATCGAGTTATTTTATTTTTAATTTCAACTTCTTGTGTTCTTCTTGGTATATAAACAGCGAACTACTCTGTTATTTTATTTGAACTTCTTGATTTATTCACTTAGTAACTAAAGAAATAAAAAAAATCTAATTCTTTCAAGCATGTAAGTCTTAGGTATTTCATAAACATAACTTCTCTACTTTTTAAATTTGAACTTCTTAGTTTTACTTTTTAGAAAAAAAATGAAATTTCAAGTAAACATCTAACAAAAGGCGATAAAAGCCTTATAGGGCAAGGCAATTAAAAAAAGCCTAAAAGGTTATCTTTCCAAAATAAGGGAAAAATCATGGGGGAGATTTTTTTCACCCCGTAATATGTTCTTCGAACTTTCTAATGAATTAAATTTGAACTTCTAGAACATTTTCTAGGTTAGACTTTGTTTTCTTCTTGTTTTTCATGTCATGTATGCTTTGTGTTTTCTCCTTTTTGGATGTTTTTCATGTCTTGTGAATATATTCACTTTTTTCATCTTTGCATTATACATGATCTTTTGTTGTAACATCATACTGCATGTGCACTTTCTTGCGGTTTAGTTTTGGCCAAATAGGAAGTTTAGAGAAATGGACCAAAACACACGTTTTTTGCACCTGCGGGTATAGCTGAACTTCATACATCAAAAAACAATCAGAAACAACACATAAATGGACAGGGGGGAGGAATCGACCCTTTGATCTGGATACGGTACAACAATAGGAAAAACAGAAAAGCGAGATCGACCGAGGATGGAGCTTGGGGGGCGTAGATGTGCTGGGCGGCCACTCGCATGGTGCCTCGAAATGGAGCAAGTTGCGGAGGTGTGGCACACACTCACACGGTGTGGATTTGAACATCCTCAGATGGCAAAGTTGAACGGCCTGGGCACTGCCGCTGTTGTGTGTCTCCGCCGCTGCTGCCGAAGTAGAAGTTGAACATGTAGCGCCGAGGGGACGAGGTCCCGCGGGGCCGTGGCCTGCAGCGTCGGCGGGAGGATCCCGGTTGGGAAGGCGGAGCGCGGGGCGGGGGCGACGGCTCCGGTGGCTGAAAGTGCGCCCGGGTGAGACAAGCGGCAGGATCCACCGGAGGAAGAGAAGGAGAAGAGGAAGGGGTTGACCGGATTCGCGTTCGCAGCAAGAAGGGGACTGCATGGGGAGCCGGCCATGGACTGCGTGCCAGGTTGATGGTACTCGAGGATCCGCGGTGGCGGTGGTGATTGGGGCGCGGAGGAGCGTGCGGCCATGGCGGAAGTGCGACAACAGGTTCCTGGTGGCGTGGGCGGCGCCCAGCGCCCCCGTGCTGGTAGGTCGGTGGGGGCGGCGGCGCCTTGGGTAGGACACCCGGTGGGAGGAGGCGCGCTGGGCGGCGAGATCCAGGGAGGAGGAGGGTGGCGGCGCGATCCAGGGAGGAGGGCGGCGGCGGTCAGGGAAGGGGATCGGGGTAGCGGCTGTGGTGGGGTGGGCTTTTCTATAAAAATCGGTCCGGTGGGCTTTTCGGGATCTTAGGAACACCTCGGTCGCTCCCTATATAGGCATGACGTGATCCAAATAACTATTCTAATCATGAGATTAGAATAGTGTTGTCCTATATGTATATGCACACTTATAAGCTGGTTGCATAACCAAATTAGACATCCACTTATATAGGTGGCTACTATAACCATGGCACTTGCACACATCAAAGTAAACTATTACATGCATAATTACATAGGTGTCTACTACACACATGACATTTCCACACACCAATAAAGTAAACTATGTATTAAATGCATGATTAACTAGCATAAACGATGATTTGATCATCATCTACTTCTTGTGACGCTTGCTCTGCTTGTGGCTCGATCTGGGCTCGTCGATTTGGGTAACAAGGTACTTCCTCATGTCAACGATCCGCCTGTGCATCTCATAGCATGTGTACATGCTCTTGGCCGCAAACCTGAGGTGAGGTTCATCCAGTTGCCGCATCAAGGCCCTGTGCGAGCATAGGGGACTTGTTCTCTGGGCATTCTGCTTCATCTTTTCGTAGTAGGGGTCGATGATGGCCGAGGCAAGTTTGACCAGGGAGTCCTTCTTCGTGCTACCCCATATACCCTATAGTGGTCATGGATTTCAACAAGGTTCTTGCAGGCCAAGCCTGTAACACTGAGCGTGTTTACATCGTCGGTGGTTTTCACCGTGGCGAAGTTGTAGCTTATCTCGTTTGCTTGTCCCACAATTGCCAATGGCACCGGTCCGTCATCATCGCTCAACCACTCCGCTGTCATCATAGGACAACTCCAGCTAGGAGGCTACACCGCGGTGGCGGCGCAGTCCCCGGCGTAGTGTACTGCGCATGGCGTCCTTGTTGGGTGTGTGCGGAACACCCACCACACGCTCCGCCGCCGCTGCCCATCGGTAGCTGTTGCCGGCCGTCGTTGCCGCCACACCACCATCGAAAGCCAAGGCCATCTTCGCTTCGCTGCCGCAGCCCAAAGGCGAGAGGTGTCCGTTGTGGCCGCCACCCCATTGCCAGCCACCGTGGCCATCAGCCGCTCCGTCACCACGGCCCGAAGGCGGGAGGTGGTGGTCGTGGCCGCCACCCCATCATCGGCCGCCGTGGACGCCAGCCCACCGTTGACTGTTGGGATCATCACCTGCTCCGCCAACGCCGCCTGAAGGAGGGAGGCAGAGGTGGAGGCCCGCACGTGCGTCAGTGACCTTGCACGCTACATCGAGTTCCTGCAGGAGGAGGAGGAGTGCCTCGTCGAGCATGCAAAGAGCCTTACCATAGCCATGGCCGCAACACACGTCGACGCAGATGCGAGGAATCAGGAGATCTACAAGTAGTCTGGCCGCTTCAAGAGGCACTGCTGCAGGAGACTGCTAACACGACACTATGATCAGAGACCCTTTGGCGAAACTGTGTGCGATGCAATAATCGCAAACGGTGGTGTAAAAAACCCCTCAAAGAAGGTGCAAAACGTTTGCGATGATGGATGCATCAAACATGGTTAAGATTTTAGTTCCGTGTGTGATGCAGGGTATACGTAATCCATTCAAACTGTCTGCGACGAGGCAGAACAACAGAAACGGGCAACCATCACAATGTGTGTGCGATGCAGGACACACGGTTAATCCATTCGAACTGTTTGCGATGAGGTAGAACAACATAAACGGGCAGCCATATCAATGTGTGTGCGATATATGGCATACGGTTAACTTGAACGAACTATTTTCCATTAGGGAACACAACAGAAATGGTTCAACTTAACTAGATGTGTGTGTGATATGCAACATACAGTTCACATGGATGAACTGTTTGCGGTGAGCCAAAAGAACACAAACGAGTCTTGTAAACAAGATGTGTGTGATACATGGCAAACAGCCGACTCGGATGAACTATTTGTGATGAGAAATTACAACACAGACGGTCAATACAGTTACTTCGTGAGTGATTCTGTGTGTACAAAAAACTTTGAAAAATGCAAACTAGTTGCTTGCGGTTTCTAGGAGTATCGCACACGATGTGTCTGTGAGTACTCATGTGCGATGATTAGTATGTTACACATACTTCTCCTTATGTTAACATGTGTGTGAATTTGCAATATGGACAGTTGATATGCAAATGCCTTCTAGACATCGGGCACACGCTTAAACTCAATGAACTGTGTATGATACTAATACTTTACATGAAAATTTATGAACTTGGGTAACAACATTTGAGTAACATATATATAGTAACAACTAGCACATTCTAAGAGGCTGAGGGCCAACAACCACAACTATCCACTGGAAGCAGCTTGATCATGGCGACTCAGCATCTCGTCAATGAAAAGGAAGAGCCCTCCTATGCCTTGGTAGAGCAGGAGTAGAACAATGTCTCCAATTTTCCAATATGGATGCATTGCCACGAGAAGTGAGAACTTGTTAATTTGAATGGTTCCATTTTGCGGGAAATGCAGTACCTTGCAATCACTTTGGCGTTATTAGCAGGCACAAGTGTAATTCCGACCACGCCGGAAAATCGATCCAAGAACGGCTATAGGGGGCAATTTCTGTTGACATGTAGAATAAAAAACAATTGTAACATATCATTGAAGATCAACAAAGTTTATGACATGCTTCAAGTCCTTCCAGTGAAATTTGGCACGCTTAGTAACATACATATCGTTCACTATGCATCCAACATATCCTGCTTATAAGGTGGAAAGGTATTATTTATTCAGAACATGGCAGAAGAATATATAGTGCGCATAAATTGGTAAACAGAATTTGTTACTACCTAGGAACGGAGTCAGAATATGATATCACAATTGGTTGCTTAAATAGTGATCAATTGGTTGCTTAAATAGTAATATGACAGCATGGATAGTAATATGACAACATGGAGAAAGTTGAAAGGACACTAACCTCGATCATACTTTGATTGGCTGATGACGTTGGGGAAGTAAATATCCATGTTAATTAGACCAGGCTGTGGTGCACGCACTAGAATTTTATTGCCAGCTTTCAGTTCATAACACTTAGACATTTTTCTCCAAAGGTCCGCATTAAAATAGGAGTGACTATCTTTATCAAGTTTTACGCTAACCTCATTGTAAATCCATGTTGCGTTGTCAATATGACATCTTGGGAGTCATCAACAAAGTAAAGCCCAAGATTTCCTTCTACTCTTGTTCTTGCAAAGCAAGGGATGTACTACTTGAAATGAAAATTAAGATCATAAATTAGATATATTGAAATAACCGAGCAAGATGCAAATATGGGAGTAACTGATAGAACATATCCATATATAGATGCAATCAAAGTACAAAAAAAAGAATTAGAAATAGATAGTGTAACAAAGATTTGATGCAAATATATAGATAATGTGGCAACAGACGGTATATGTTCACAAATTTAGGCCATGCCGACCGTGGTAGGTTGAGCTTGAACATACCGAGCACTCCCTGAAGTCATCCGGAATGGTGAGATAGAACTTTGTTTCCGACTGGCCACGACCACAGTTGCCCAATTTGTGCTCGCACTGTGTACACATGAATGAACACCCATGAATCAACTAGAACAAAAATGATTCCACGGCGATTTCCGTTGGTTGATTAACAACGACGACGGACTGCGATAAGAGATGAGTAAATATTTTGCTAATTAAGTTGATTACCTTCTCCATGAGAAAAACCCTGGCCCAATCCCGTAGAAAACTCTAGTCGACCAGAGTCTAGAATGTCGGTGCAGATAGGCGGCGAAAAGCAGTGGAGGCAAAATCCGGTGCCGCTTGGAGCGCGACCTACGCCCGCCGCCAACAACCGTCGAGCTTAGGGTGCAGAGTTGCGGAGGAGTCCGCGGCGAGTGAGTGGGGACGAAGTGGGCGAGGGTTTTCTTTTCCTTTTGCATGCGTGATTGAACACACACGGTTCGCAGAGGCGACGAAGATGATTCCTGTGCGATAGTAAATCACCGAGATTGAATGGGAATCCAAATTTCCTTTGTCCTTCATCCATGAGTTTTTTCTATGATGAACATAAACCCTGCTAATCACTATGTTCAAATTTGACACTTTTCCAGGTTCATTTACAATATTTAGGGGATTATGTGCATTTTGTAGGCATTAATGCACATAATTCAAATTCAAACAATTGGAGCATGAAAGGGTGCACAAGAACGGTCTGGAAAAACCATACTCATGGTATTTAGTATTTTCTCAAGCCTTTTACAAGGAATGGGTAGAGATTTCAATGGAATGCGTGGCAATAGTCAACCACAAATGCGTCATTTACTGGGTTATCAACTATAGAACAATGAAATATGTGCTTGAAAAACATGACGACTAGCATGGTGCCATGGTATAGCCTCACTGTGCCCTGGTTAAAAGCTGAGAAGGTTTGATTTATGTCGTCATGCATGCCCTTCATAAATCGAACCATCACCGAGGAAGTTTAATGCTTTCGAAAAGGAAATCACCAAGATTGAAGGGGAACCCAAATTTCCTTCCTAGTTTGTCATTCAATTTTTTTCCAACGATCAACATACCACCTCAAATGAAACCTATTCAAATTTGACATCTTTCCAAACTCATTTACCATATTTAGGGGATTGTGTGCATTTTTAGGCATTAATTATGCACATAATTCAAATTCAAACAATCGGTGCATGAAAAGGTGCACAAGAACGGTCTGGAAAACCATGCTCGTGCTATACAAAAAATGAAACACATGGCTGGAAAACATGATGCCTGGTGTGGTGCCATGGTATGGCCTCACCATGCCCTGGTAAAAATTGGAGAATGTTTTCCTTATGTCGTGATGCGCGCCTTTCATAAAATGAACCACCATCTGAGGAAGTTTCATGGTTTTGAGGGGGAAATCACCAAGATTGTAGGGGGATCCAAATTTCCTTTGTCCTTTGTCCACGAGTTTTTTTCTATGATGAGCATACAACTTACAAATCACCGTGTTCAAATTTGGCACTTTTCCAGGTTCATTTGCCATATTTAGGGGATTATGTGCATTTCCTAGGCATTAATGCGC